TTCACCTAATAATAAATTAGAAAAATCAGAATGTATTTAATTTAAAAAAAGTGAGCTTTTTGTGATCTGAAGGTTATTACGAATCGTTTGTAAATAATTAATTGTTACGTCGATAAACGATTCATTTGTATCAAATGAAAATACATGTCTTTCGTGAAGCGATTCGAAATTTCCGTAAACAATTGGATAATCGTCGCAATTTCAGCAGGGATTCTCTTCCCGCGCGACAATCGTACCGAGAATATCATTGTCTCCAATGACGCGAGCTAATCGAGCGAGTTGATGTTAGTAAAAGCAATCTCCGATAGAGTATAAATTACGTTGGACGCGCTAAAAGCCGTTGCACACCGGTTGATTTTATCAAAATCATATTTTGGCCCTCTGCTTTATCGTCTATTTTAAATTCAATAATCTTTACATTCTCTCGTATTAATTCATACTTGGCGGCCTTCAATCCATCGACATATTTTTGCCTTTTACTAAGGCAAAAAAAATATAGCAATTATTAAGCAAGAATATATTAAATCAATTAATCTATCGAGACTAAGATTGTAATGACAATAAAATTCTTAAAAGATTTCAAAATAAACCTAATCTTTGGATACAAATTATATTCAATAAAATTGTCAAAATTATTTTGAAACTCTTGTCTTACATTGCAACAACATAGCAGACACAGAGCAACTGTGAAAATAAAACCATATTTATATAATTAGAATTTGTCATATCCTCACTTTGAACACCGGATTAAGCAGTCCAAGTCGGACTTGTCAGAAATCTCAGGATGAGAACCGCTCGAGACGAGCCTCTCGTCCAACCGGCTAGGTCGCCAATCGCGAGCAGTCTCGCTACCAATGCCTATCGAACCGACGAATCGCAGCTATCTAAAGCGAAGGCTCGTCTTGCACCTTGTACCTCGCATCGTTGGCTTTCTCTCCAGCTGTCGCGACCAACCACGAGAGATTCGTTGTACTGATAATTACGCCATTCGAACAAACTTTGAGCAAGACGCGTACGACGACAATAAATCATACGTGTTCATCAAGACGAGCCATGACGGTACATGTACGCCTCGTCAATATTGGCGTCATAACTAAAGGTACGTCACGTCATGACGCAATATTTTACAATCGGAGGTGTGTACTATCGGATGATGAAACTTCCTCGCAAAATTGCGTTGTCGTTCGCGATACTGGAAATGGAAGACTATACCTCGAAATGAGATTGTCGCTAATCTAGAAAAGCCGGAAGTTTGATCTTCTATTTGATCTATGCTATCAATAAATACTTTCCAGTAATGTAACTATCGCTATCACATAATAAAATATATATCACAAACAAATTGTGCCCGATTTAATTTGTACATTTTTGTAGTTAATTTTTACACGTAAATTTTCTCACTTCCAATTCAAAATATTGAAATTTATGATTTTTTCCGCATTATTAAATTCGCTAAATATTGTTTGATTGTTCCATTCCAGACGCTCGTTCTGAGAATTATGAAATTGATCAATTTACAAAGATTAAATACAATTTTACCGAAACCCTCTTCTCCTCTTTCCACCTAAAAAAAAAAAATCAAATCGTCGCGTAAAATTTCCAAGTATTAATTTACTTCCCACTCTTCCAGAAGAAAAACGTGATAAATGAAAAACACATCGAGAGCGTTTTGCGGAGTGAAATTTATTCGTAACTAACATAAGTAGAAGTTATTTAAGAATTACCCGACCGCAATCGGCGACTGCGCTTTTGCATTCGCTGCAGACGAAGCAACATCCATTCCCGCTGACGCAGCGCTTATGCGGCTGCCGCTACTTTATATCCGCGATCTAAACAAAAACTAAAAATAAGAGACGTCGACATGTCACGTGAAAAAGGATCGTTCGTAGATATTTAAAAAGCTCTAGGGTGTTTATTTACTAGCGCTGAACGAAATTCAAGGATGCGAGACGAAGGCGAGAAATGATCTCTTTCTCTCTCTTCCTGATCATGAAATAATATTACTATGCGCGATTCTCGTCGGTGATATGTTAGGAAATACGTTAGTGCTTCGCACTAACTTATCTAATAATATCGTCTGCGTGGCCCTGTAACTTACTTAGGCAGGTCGACATCAATCCTGGCACGGTGTCAATGTGACACACAAAATGCGTGCTCTTCGTTCGCGAGGACCCATGTTAATTTCAACTGCGTAGCTAACTTATTCACATTCGCTACGCTCCGATCGCTGCTCTGACGTTCTATTATTATTTTAATCCCTGGAGAAAGAGATCAACGAATAACGCGGCAGAAAGTATAAGCAACGAAGAGAATAAAAGGTATGATGCAAAGAATTGGAGTAATGAGACTGGAAGTGTCTCAAGTCGTCAACGTGGAGCGAATATTCTATAATCCGAATTTATAAGTGTTATCCAGATGTTCATTTATTATCTCATAATATTAATTTTTCATACGTATTACTCCCTTCGTCCAGCCCAAGTTTGTTTACCTCTAAGCTTTTAAAAGATTTATTTATTGTACTTTTCAACATCTCTGTTACAAATAGTTTTTTTAACAAGATATTTTAAGAGTGCAGATCGGATTTTATCCTTCTTTATTTCGAAGAATTGAGAGTGAAATTTCGCTTGTGCCAAAAAGATCTAGATTGCAGACGGAGAATTATAGTCTACGTGAAGACTCTTCTACGAAAATAGAAAAAAATTCGAACGGCAATGTTACATCTTATGACAATTCCAAATGAAATGTTATGTACCATTTTTTAGATAAAATCTTAGGATCCCTTAATTATTATATTTCGAAATAAACTGGATGTGATAAGCTGGATTATGATCAGCTAAAATCTTAATATCCAGATAATAAGTGTTCGAATATTTCGAACTAAAAATAATTGTCCGAATGGTTGAGGCTCACAAATTTTTTTTGGTTACAAAAAATATGTATATTAAAAATATGTATATTAATATGAATATTAAAGAAATAACGTATAAAATTGCTTGAGACTAATTCCTCGCTAATTCCGACTGTACAACTATTTGATTCGTATTGCGTTTCACGGCCAGTAGCATCATTAGCATTGTTTGAATACGTCGCAAATTGATTTACGCCTAATTCAAACTATTACTATTATATTACTAGATTTACGCTATAAAGAATAAGTAATATTCCGCTTGTGTAGTCGTAATTTATAATATTAAACGCTAAGTTATCTAATAAAATGATAACAGAAAATTCCATGTAAGATTGTGATCTGCCGATAAATGTAAGGTCGAGTGTTTTGCGATGCCGCGCGTTGGGAATGCTCTAAGTTTAATTAAAATAATTCAACGTTTTCTACTACTGTCGCGACGAATGCAAATTAGAACCTTCGAATTGTCACTTCCGAGAAGCATCATCAATGGTATTCAAAAGGACACTAAGTGACAATGATATATCGTCCTTCGACGCGAACACGCCAGCGAAATGCGAATTGAATTCGACATGAGAATGATGTCGCGATATGAAAAAAGCAAATTTTATCTCCTTTAGCAATGGTATATTCTGATCTTCACTTCTTACAGCAAAATACGTTAATAGTGAAGCACAGAGCAGACATTTGCATCTAAAAATACGCGCGTCCTTATAGTAATTCTAATCGCAGTGATGGAGAATATCGTTACATTTTGAAAAAGATTATAGGCATTAATATTTAATCATTCATTCATATGAATACACACAAAAGATATTTTCTCTCCATTTGTATGACATAATATTGTGAGGATATCGTAGTTTAAATCACAATTTCACAATATTATAGAAGAACTTTTACAAGTGAATAAAGATATTATTTTTTAGATACGAAACTTAAAATTTTTGTAAGAATTCTTTTGTTTATTTTTTGTTATTATTTCTATCTCTAGTAAGTTTATATGGAAAGAACGATTTTATTAAAGTCTCTAAAAATTTAGGTAGATACAAATCCAAAAATAATTTTGCTAAGCCATCAAAATAATTATGTAGAACGCTTAAACGTTGATGTGACAATGCAAAAAATTTTAATAGTCTTCCAATCAGTTTAAACTTCCTACATAATTACTGTAATGGTTTAAACAAAATTATTTTTTTAGATTTGTATCTAATTAAAATTTTTAAATATTTCAGTGAATACATCACGCGCAAAACGGTGCTATCTATTAGTATTCTGCATTTCTTAATTTTTTATAGTACAAATTCAAATATTTTTTTCTAAATTAATACTCAAAATTTACGATAGCAAAATATAATGGCTACGAGCTTATTTTGTTAAAAACGCTTAACATTTGAATGTAAAAATGATCATTATAAACATAAAATTATAAAGAAAACAACAAACATTTCGATACCAACAAATATTAAACGTTTTTTCATAAAATAGGCTCGTAGCCCTTCTATTTTACGATTGTGATTTTATTCTTATTAGAACCATATTATCTGTAATTAATTCAAAATTTAATTTTATCACACAGGTCCTAACTTTCCACTCTCTAATTATCATGCATTTTATTTAGCATAGCATTATATGTAATACAAAGAAATAAACCTCCGCAGATACGCAAATAGATACACACGCGCATACAATGAAGCCAAGAGAGACGCTAATCATGAAGGCTTCCGGAGTTCTCTCGGACACGTGCTAACGCACGACAGTCAGGGAGTTGTAACGCGATTCTCCTATCATCTGAAAACTGAACGTACCTTCGTATCTGCTTTAATGCAGCAGGCCGGAGCAGCAGAGTGTGTGTGTGTGTGTGTATGAGAAAGAGAGAGAGAGAGAGAGGAAGAGCTTGAGGAAGAGCTATTCACTGAAATTCGCGCGCGGTCACACTATCGGCGTACTATTCACGACGTTCGTCACGTTTGCTATGAGAAGAAGCGTGTCGCAGAGTACGAGATTACAGATGAGAGAGTCGATCAGGTCAATCACGCGTCGCTGACGAAATCAACTTGTCCCCTCATGAAAGAAGATACGAAAAACGTGGACCTCACGATGGTGCCGCGTTACGTACGTGACTGGCTGACTGCTCGCGCGAGTAGTATTCGCACGAGTCGGGCTCTCTGTTTCCCTCTCCTGACCACAGAATCAGGGCCGAACTCGCGTACAAGCGAAGCGAGTCGCGAGACACAGCAAGGTACGGACTCGCACTCGCGTTACAAGCGACCTCGCATTATCTCGAAATGGACAAGTGCCTGACGCACTCCTTTGAATCGAAATATTCTCAATTTGTGACTGTCCACCTCTTGAGGGAAAGAGACTCTGTAACAGTGTTTAAGGTCAGCGACTCCAGTTAACAAACGCGATTAACTCCGGCACTGCACTGCACCGCTCACTGTCAGCCTTGTCCTGTGTCTCTTTCATTCCCGGCCAGACGTAGTTTAGCTACTCTTTTTATTTTCTCGGACGATAGATATATCCGTCACGAGACGCTCTGCAGGAAAAGGCGTTAATTGAACTCGAGTTTGGGATCAAGCAAAAATGTCTGTGCTCTTTTGAAATGTAATGAAGATACAAGGTCATGTCTTTGACGTCTTGAACTTTTTGTAAATGTAGAATCAGTAATCAGTCTCAATGAATTTTTAAACTGATACGTTGAGTGTATTTGCAAACGCTTATTTAATTTAAGTGAAACAATTTTATATAATTGTCAAAGCTTTAACAATGAATTTTTACCATCGTAGAAGTCAGATTGAATAACTTGATCTATTTTTTACGAATTTAAATTTATCTACTGAAATTCACAATCACAAAATATCGATGGTGTATTTAAAGATCCCAGTTAACAGTGAAGGATTAATAAGTAGGCATCACAATTTCAAGGAGAGACTAAAGGCGAAAAACTCATAAACTGATGGGAAAATCGCTCCATGAAATCTTTATTGTTGAAGAAAAAAAAAAAGGAATATTATACCTCACAAGAAAAAAATCAATGAAAAAAGAAGAAAAAATTGTAATATATTTATGCAAAACTTTCGCATTTAATCAGACAAAAGAATAAAAAAAAAATAAAAAATTATTCAACGTATTGATAACAAAAAGATAGCGCTCTGATTATTTCAAGATATACACTATTTCAGGAAACAGAAAAAGATGAAATTGATAAGCATCTCATGGCGAAGATCGGCAAGAAGACAAAGAGAATTTCCTGGCTCTAATTCTGTCCTCGATGAGCAAACTTCACGCATTCTGATATCATCCATGATCTATACTGAACGGCGACGTCGGCGACCCGGAATGAACTGGTTTTTATGTATCAAGGTATATGTGAGTAGCGTCGACTGCTGTCAAGTGTGTGGTTATCGCGAAGCCGAACGAAGTTTGACGGAGAAACGCGAAAATTATTGATCACGTGCTCATTCATCTGAAGAAATATTCAGAAAGAACTTTCAACCTTTAGTTATTTTCGTGCCAGATTCGAGATCTTCGTATTATTTACGCGTCTGGTGACAATCTCTTATATTAGCAAAAAAATCAAATATCTCATTAAAGAGCCATTGTGCGGTTCGAGTCGCGACCGAAGTTATTTGTCAACTTCTCGATTTGCATTATTATTAAATAAGCGGACATGATGCTTATAGTACCTTATTTAAATTAACTTCGCGAATAGGATTATCAGATATACTCTTGTAAGAATACATTTATTCTCTTTAAGATCGTAAAACTTTTGGTTATTAATTAAAATTTTATATTTATAAAATATTATATTATTGTAATAAAACTGCAATCATCAATTCCAGATTTATATAAAAAATATTGCAGTAAATACGAGAGTAAATACAAATATACACGATTTCATCTCATATTTCACGCAATATTTCAAATTTTGTTAACATAAATTATTAAAGAAATGGAGTTTTCATCTTAAAATAATATTGCTCATTTTTTTACTATATTTTATCTACGATTCTTGCTTTTGCGTTTTATACGTAGTTATTTTAAATCAATTATGTTAAAGGTATGCCAACGAAAATCGCAATAATCCTCAACAACGTTTCAATTTTTGTTCGAACGAAAAAAAAGTTGATCGAAGATGGCAGCGGCAGCTTTTGCGAATGATCGCATAAAATTGCATCTTAATTCTATTTGTGCAAGGAATGTTTTAAAAATATCTCTTGCTAATAATGGTCACGAAATCATATTTTTAAGGGATTTATCCAATAGAATTAAAAAACGATAAGCGTACTAATAAGAATAAAGTGTAGCGGAAGTATTCGAGTATCCGTAGCGAAAATGCAGTATACCGCGAAATACAATTAAGTCGTCTAGAGACTCCCGATAAATAAATCGCTATCAATCAATCGATCGACTACTTGAGAAAACCTTGTACGTACCGTAACCTTGGATTTCTTTCCGCTTTGTCCCCAATCTTGACGCACACAAGAAAACAGATGCAACGATATGCAGCTGCAATGAAAATGAACTTTCTTTACAATATAGCTCAATTTGGCTAATTTAAAATCGTACAATGCAAAGTCCGCGCACTCAACTTCTACAAAAACTTCTACACACACCTAGTCCTTGAAACTTCGCACACTGGAAAAAGCTAAACTTCGTTCTCGCAGATTTTCTGCCTGCTAATGACGCACCACTATAACAATAGTTGTCTCACAAGTTACTCGGAAGAAAGCGTGATTCTATATTGTGCTCTATAATTTCACTATTTTGAATTATTTTTCGTTTGATATTTTTCTCTTTGTCTCAAGCGTGACAAATGTAATTTTCCGAGAATCGGCTACGGTTTTGGTATACGATAACGAAGACATGGCGAAGATGGCGAAGAAATGCAAAGAAATTCGTAGACGTGTGAAATGTAATTCGAAGATATTGCACGATATTATGACAATACGACACGCGTGAGTTACAAAAAGATGTCGGCGCGTCGACGTTCGATCGTGAACTAACCCATTGCGAACGTCAATCGTTTTATAAGTGCTTTATAAACGCCGGCGTCGTCGGTAATTGTCACGTGACCGCAAATATTTCTCACTTTGACAATCGAAGTTGTCCGACGTAGGTCCGTCGTAAAACACGCATTATTAACGCTGCTGTAATTATGCACACGTGTCGTGTTATGTATATTAACAGCGACTTGTCTAATGAGAAGAAATAAATTAGTCGAGCTCGAAGTTTCATTGGCGATAAACTATTGCAATTAATGCGCGTACGCTAAAAGAAAAGATTGGCTGCTGCAGCAAATTAGATAATAAAATATGGCATAGCATTTTTAATTGGTTGCCACAGCCAATTAAAAATGCTATGCCATATTCAGTCAATCTTTTCTTTCAGTGTGTTCTAGACTATGCGAGTGCACCGTTCGATTTCTCGAATTTCGACCTTCGTATTTCGTGATTAAATTATTATTGCAGAAGCGTCAATCAAATGTGACGTTAATGCTGAATACTCGTTGGCGTATAATGGTGATGATAAATAATGAATGATGAATAATGAAATGGGCAATATATCGGCTATAAATACCCGTTTCCATCTTTATTTTTATCAATCCTTCCCGGTTGTTTAGTTTGAAATATCAGTCACGAAATAAACTTAAACATAATATTTCACAACAATGTTAACATTAATATTATGCAATTTATAGGACGCGACAGTAAGCTAATAATAGAGATCGTGACACCGCACGAGACACGTACTGACGCTACGTGCCTCGATTATGGGAAGCTCGAGCAGTCGAATCAGGTGAAAATTGTCACACAATTCGTTCACACGGTGTGTTTTTTTAAAGGAAATGCACGCATCCGAGGTAGAATCTGCTCACATAGCAGTATGTCACGCGACACGTGAATGCCCCGTTTACGCACGTGTCTGATACGTTAAATGTTACTCACGTCTTTATCGTAAGGCCGTCGACTGTAAAAACATATATTGATTATGACCCGTTAAATCCGATGTGACACGATGGATCTGCGTGCATTTCCTGGCATTTTTTTTTTACGAAAAAGAAGAGAGTGGCATTTATATCAACTGTACGACAATTACGTCAAATTACAAAAGAATTCTGAAACAATGATAACTATAATATTACTTCCTCACGAATTCAGTGATTCCTAAAAGATTGCGCTGCACTTCGAAAATTATTGACGATGGGAATTAATTAAAAAAGGAATTTTTTTCGACGACTGTTTCTTTTTATAACTTTCGTATTTCCCGCAAGTGTGAATCTTATTGTACTCTCTCAAGTATAAATTTTCCAATTATTCACTCGCTAGTATAATATTTTTACGAGGAAAAAAGAGTAATATTTATCTTAACTACAAACAATAATTTGCAAAATTAAAAAAAGATTTCCGAAAAAATAATAGCTATAACATTACTTTCTCCGGATTCAGTGATTCCTAAAAGATTGCGCTATACTTGAATTAAAAATTATTGACGATGACGATTGAACAATTGATTTTTAGATGATTAATATTCTTCGTTGTATTTCCCGCAGGTAAATCTTAGCGCTCAGGTGCAATTTTTCCGATTATTCGCCGGTATTTTTATTTTGACGGATGTAGCCGGTGACTCAGGTATCTCGGCGCGGCGGGATAAAATCTCGTGAGATCATTTCTGAGAAATACATGAAATACGCCATGGGTATGTTTCGAATTACCGTTCGGATCGAGTCGTTGGAAAATTTTCCTCTCGTAAATGTCCCGCGATTAAACGGTCGGGTCATCGGAGAATTACTTCGTCTCATTCGAGTCCGGCGACAAGGCGCGTACATCAACATACACATATGCACGAGTTTGCACGCATACGTGCACATTGATGCATGTATAAAATTCAACCGAGCGTGATTAGCTCGATCAATTACGCGGCTCGATTGCAGACGGTAAGGATAATGAACTGCTACAACCGTCTCGACTTTATTGCTAATAATCTTTCGGATGTCTGTTTAAACCAATAAATGTACGCATGCAATAAAATCTTATGCTAATAACATAATTATATTTTTTATTGTCCCACCCTAATTATTCTTCAATAAAACATAGTAGTATATATTATTTTGTGTATTAATTAATTTTTTTACAGGGATAAACATTTTTT